ATCGCGGAGCCATCCATTGTGTGGTCAGTGGAACGCCAGTGTAAGTATCTGCAAACAAGTATTGTTTTCTAAACCTTGTTTGTAAGTATTTAATTTTAATGTTTACTTCTATCTTTTAGTGCCCAAGGAGCTGAACAGCAGTGCTGCTATGATCGTTATGGCTTCTTGATGCTGACCTACGACCAGATGTGGGGCTCTCGTCCTCGTCGCGTTCACAATCTGGGCAAGATGCCCTGGAACGAGGCCAGCAAGGTGCCTTCCCTGTCCATGTGGTTCCATGACATGCGTCCCTTCTACTCCTGCTGCTATTGGCAAGAGGAACAGGCTGTTGGCTGCGAAACCTATCGCTTTGAGCGTCGTCCTTCGCAGGATTGCGTGGCCTATCAGGCGCCTGGAATTGCCGGCGTCTTTGGAGATCCTCACTTTGTGACCTTTGACGGAACGGCATACACCTTTAACGGATTGGGAGAATTTGTACTGGCGCGCAGTGTTGACGAGAGCAACAAGTTCGAGATCCAGGGACGATTCCAACAGCTGCCGAATAATTATTACGGCGAGGTGAAGGCCACTCAGCTGACGGCGATGGCTATGCGAGGTAATACCACCACCACAATTGAGGTGCGTCTGCGTCCTCTGCACGCCCGCTGGCGCTATCGCCTGGATGTCCTGGCCGACGGTCGTCGGGTCTATTTCGATCGGGAGAGCTTGAAGTTCCAGCACTTTGACGGAGTCACCGTGTACACCCCCACTTACCTGCTCAATCAGTCCCAGGTTGTGGTGCAGTTCGACGCAGGCATCGGCGTGGAGGTGGTCGAGAATGAGGGTTTCATGACCGGTCGCGTTTTCCTGCCCTGGAAGTTTATAGTGAGTGTTTTGGCTCCTTTAATTTATGTAAATTTTCTTAAACGTTATTTTATTTATAAATTCAATCTAGAATAAAACGGCTGGTCTCTTTGGAAACTGGAGCTTTAACAAGCTGGATGACTTCATGCTACCCAATGGTCAAGTGGCCACTCTGAACCTGAACGATCTCCGCAGCATTCACACCAACTTTGGCATCAAATGGATGCTTACAGATCGCGAGGTTCCTGGCGTGGGAGCTGCCCTCTTCACCCGCGAATTTGGAAGGATGTCCAGCTACTATGCGAATGCCACCTTCCTGCCGAACTATGTCCTAGATCCGGCGGACTTCCTGCCTGCCAATCGTACTTACGATCTGGAGAGAGCCGAGGAATTGTGCGGAGAGTGCTTGCAGTGCCAGTACGACTATGCCATGACCCTTAATCGAGATTTGGCGCACTTTACCAAGAATTACTATGACACTATAGTTAATATGCAATCGGAGAATTCAAAGTGAGTTGCAAAATAGAAAAATTAAGTTAAATTATAAAATGTAAATGCTGTTTAAGTATTTACTAAAAGTAAAATTGTTTATTTACTTTATAATTTAATATTTTACCTCAACAGACCTGTTATATCCTGTGGTGTGCTACAAACTCCTCGATTTGGTCGCAAGCTAAGCTTTGACTTTATGCCAGGAGCCAAGGTGTCCTTCGAGTGCAATGAGGGCTTTATTCTGGTAGGAGATCAGAGGAGAGAGTGTCTGGCCAATGGTCTTTGGAATGTTCCCGAATACGGTTATACCGAGTGTCTGCGTAAGTATTAAATTGTAAATATAATGTATAATTTTCCATTTAGAGCCAATTTTCTATTATTAAACTTTATAATAATACTCTACTGACTGACTGAATTAAATAGTGAAATTTATTCTTTGAGAAGCATTTAAATATTTCATAAATTTGATTTCTCTTCAATTTAAAAATTTCCTTTAATTAATACTCCAAAATCCAGTCAGCCAGTAGATTATCCTTTGATTTCCACCCCTAATTTTCCCGTAAAATTCCGTCCTCTGACCCTTTGCTGACCTCACGCTTCCGCTTCCGCTTTCCCCGCGCAGGTGAGGTGTACTACACGCGTCGCGTCGCTTTCATTGCAATTGGCATTATCTTCCTGGTGATCTGCCCACTGATGCTGTGCATCGTGTGCGGCGTATACCGCTACCGTCAGAAGCAGCTGAAGGAGGATCCGCAGTGGCAGATGCCCATGCTGCCCAGATCGAGGGCCAGCTCCGCAAGGAATTTGCGTACGCTGAACTATGACGATGATAGCGATACGGATGCGAGTACGCTGAAGAAAAGTAGGTCCTACGACAAAGTATATCGCACGAACGAACCATTACCAGGCAAACCGCAAATTGATTTTCCAGCTAAGAAATGGGATCTGGATGAGAACGATGAGGACGTGACCTCCTCGGAAGGTAGTGAGATTAGAAACAGCTCCAAGCTGGCCAAGGACATTTCCTACATTAATCCCAACGTAACCCACGTAACAGGTGAGAAGCCGAAGCAGTCGGGTCGCCGCTCCCTACGCTCTCCCTCCGGCACGGAGCTGGATCAGCAAGGAGAGCACGATGATCACCATCCGGATGAGGACGATGACTTCGATGAGGCGGATGTCCACGGTGGCACCATCCACCCGGCGGGCTACCACCAGCCGATGTCGCCGGAGGAGGCCGATCAGCTGCACCGCCAGCAGTACAGTCCCACCTTCAGCGGCCTAGACAGTCGCACCAGCGGGGCCAGTTCCATCAACTACACCCCGCAGCAGCAGGCGGCGGTCCAAAATCGCTTCGGAGGAGTGCCGGTCCTGCCCAGCAATACGCAGTACTTCAGCGGAACTCCCCAGGGAGTGGCCAACACCACGCCCCTGAGGACAGCGCCAACGCCGCTGACACAGGACAGTGGCCTGCCATCACCGCCGTTGGCCACCTCGCCCACTCCCTCGGTGCAGAAGTCCACGGAGGTCTAGGAGGACTCATCCGAAGAACATCGCCCACCTGCCCCTAGCTGCAAAGTTCAAATACTAAGAGCCACCCAACACTAATAACTAGATTTAAGAAACTTTGCCTCTTTAACTCTTTACCTGTTCGCCATGACCCCCATTAAGCAGGGCTGTGAGCAGCTCTGCCCTTAAACCCATATAAAATAGTCCCAACCGTCTATCACAATCGCAATAATTAAGCATAATCCAATCGTTAAGTCATCTAACTGTATTTAATTCGGCCCAGGTAAACCATCATCGTTTTGTATTGAATAAAACACCAAACACTTGTTTATAGTACTTTACACATTAATAATTATTGTATTTAATTTATAATAATTAATCTTGGTTCTCGTTCTCTTTGCAGGCCGTTTTGATAATGCCAATTGTTACATGAAAGTTGACACTTCGCAGAGTTTAATTTAATTTTAATGAAAGGCTTGTCAATTTTCTGTAATAATTTGCATAAACCGGCTAAACGCCTTAGTAATTGCACTAGATAGCATTTTAATTGAAGACAAAACAATTACTTTAAACAGCTTATAATTAAAATAACAGAACACAGGGAAAAGTACCATTTTTCAAGATAAATAAACTACATGTTTGAAAGTTTGTGAGGAAGAGAATTTTAATAAAACTGAGTTCATGACAAAATAACTTAAAAACTCTTCAAAAAGAGCAGAGAATAGAGACTAAAAGTTGCTTAATTTAAACCAAAGTTGCCCCCTTTTGATTACTTTAAAATGTAATCCGCAGAGAGAAGAAATCTTATATTTAAAGATTTTAATATATTATTTTTATATTATCAAATATCCCCCCCTTTGTTGTCCAGTGTATTCTCCTCAATGCAACGGCAGTGCAAACACGAATTACATGAAATTTATAACGAAGCAATAAGACCGAAGCCAGAGACATTAATCTTCGACTGTCACTTGGTTTTTTTTAAGCAGTGTCTCATTGTTGTTTTTTTTTTCTGCTGTTGCTACTGCCACGCCCATTCGCTCCACCTACGCCCATCCACTGAGGAGAAATGTATTGTGTGCATTACGCCAATGTCAATCAATCTTGAGCAAATTGATGGACAAGTTGCCGTTACTTATGTCTGCTTGTCCGCTGTTGCTGCTGCTGCTGCTGCTGAATCCTTCGTCCTTTCCATCAATGTGCCAGTATATGCAGCGTTTGTCTATCCGGGAATAGAACCAAACAACAATGCCAGGACGAAACGAGCTCGAAAACTAGGCGACTATGTAGTTTTGAGCCTCGAGGGGTTAAGGTGCGGCGTATAGGAGGAGTGGACTGGTGGATGGCTAGATGGATGGCCTAGTTGGTGGCTTAATCTATGAACAGCAGAGGTAGCAGAGAGGTATCTTCCTCAGAAACTACAAGCTACAGAAGCTAAAAATATACCTAAAGGCTTGAGGTAACAGAGAGACAATGGCTTGAATAAAATGGAATTGTGGTTTGATTTATAAATCAGTGTGAAAGAAAATTTTTATAATATAATTAAAAACCAATATATTAAATTTTAGAGAAGGGAATTTAAAGAACATATTTCCCAGGACCTTAATGTTAGATATTTATTTAGATTATTATTTATTTTCCTTTGCAAACCTTTGCAGGACACGAGGAACAATCAGCCCGAGTGGCAAGCATCTCTCTTGGCCTGGTACTGCTCATTCTGATTCCTAGCCTGCTGCTTCTGGTTTGTGGAGCGAGTTATTGGATTCGCGAACGAATCGCACGGGAGGAAGAGGAGGCTGCCCAGGCTTTGTTGCCCAAATCCAAGTGGCAGAAGTCGAAACAACATGTAATTTGATTAGCACATTGATTAGCTGGCGCAGACGTGCGATCGTGGGCTGAATAAGGAATCGCAGGACGCGAATTTCCAACCTCAGAAGTAATTACAGAATTTCATTTTCAAAGAGACGACACGCATCAAAACTTTATTTATTAACCTCAAAATAAAATGAATAAAAAACAAGCTGAAATTGAAGGGATCCTTTAATGAAAGGAGCTTTTAAGTAAATGGAAATAAACTTACCTTTAAATTTAAACCACAAAAAGCTAAATAAAATGATTAAAATTAAGGCAATTATCAACATCAACATTTCAGGGTTCAATGAAATATTTTTATTTGCTTCTGCATATGTTTATCTTGCATTTTACTCTTGGGTTACAGTTACATATTGATTCACTTTAACATATTTAACATTTATATACTCCATTTCGTGTACCGATGAAGACGGACAGGAGGGGCAGAGAGTGGGCTCAGATGGGGGCTTAGTTAGCTTAGCACTTAACATGTCTTACAGTACAAGTAATTAACTTAGATTTAACACTCAACACCACTTTAGACCAACGGAAAACAAATCGAGTCTTAAGCTACGCTTGCCTTAGAAGAACATTCAGCTGAACAGTTGGATACACTTTATGAATTAATTGTATTTACGTTTTTAGAGTATTTGCATCTGTGCACATTGATATTGCTATGGATATATCTATATTTATATAGGTATGTACTTAACCAAAGTCCATGATTTCGGAGAGAGACCTCCGGTGTGATGGCTTAAGAACTATAAAGCTATTTTTCAGTTAGAGTAAAGTAGAGATTTGTCCTTCGTAACGATGCCCATAGATCAATGGAAACTTGAACGATGCCTGGAGAGTTCTTCAATATATATATGCATTTATATACGATTGCTTAGCCTATAGTACTATATTCTGGATGCCTTGGACTGTAGAACATATATATATCCATGTAAATACTTGTATTTTGGTTGTGTGTGACTTTCGGTTGTACATTTGTATATCGGGTTTACTTTGGTGCAGTTTTGGGTTTGCTAACAATTTTGTCATTGGTTTATTTACTGGTCGATAGCCCTGTATAGAAGTTGACGAACCCAATAACATCTAGATGTATACATTATATATCTGTGTTTATTTTACGTTCTTTTTGGTTTGGTTTATCCTTTGGTGCCTTGTGGTTATGCTAATTTACGTTTACGGCTTAATTAAGTTGTCCCAAAAGTTGAGAGTGGTTTAGTTAGAATATTTGCCTTACATTGTTTTGCTCGTCGATTTTTTTTTTACAGTTCAAGTGAGTGCCTTTGCCTCTCTCGATTAGATTTAGTTACACGAAAAAGTTCAGCCTAAGAAACCATCACAAAGTAGGATCATAATAAATACATATTAACAAATTACACGCTCATTCTTTACACAATAGTACGCACACACATCTACAAGGATATCGCAAACACACTTAGATAGTTTAAACATTTTTACAGGATAATCCACAGGCTGCAACGAGAAAACAATTTAGAGTGATTTTAGTGGGAATGCTCGAACGCAAAATGGGAAATATAAATACTCTTATGTCGGTCACGAACTGACCCAACATTAAATGAGGTTATTCTCTACACAGAGGGAAAATACGTAATGAAGACAGAAATATGGAGAATATATTATTAAGGTAATTTAGTAACTAATTTAGTTGGAAAAATAAATGAATCTCAACTATTTTTATTTTAAAAAACAGTAAACTAATCCTTCTAGAACTCCTCTTATCTTTGCACATTTAAAAAGCATGTTTATATATATTAACTTTAATGTTATATTAAACATTGAATTATTTAAAAAACAATCCTAAATTTTTTGCAAGCTGTAAAACAGAGCTGGGGAAATCAGAGCTCTGTTTGTGTTTGCCTAAGCGTTTGGCTCCCGTGAGCACGCAATTCAATTTAACCCTTCACGCCCAATTACGCCGTAAAGCCGGGACACGGATATGGGCCAGGATCGCCGGAGAGAACAGAAAAGGACGGAAGGAGACGGGACAGGACACACGAGTTGGAAACAGTGTCAATGTCAAAAGTTGGACTTTGGCCATGTGGAAACGGAACGGAACAAGAAACTTGGCTTGCCTTTTTTTCGACGGACTCGTATTTGTTATGCCAACTGCGTGCCGGTTGAGGGGCAGTTTCCAGGGGTCGTCGTGGGTGCGCCTGAAAACAAGCCACAAAACAGTCCAACTACAAAGGCGCAAACAACTTTTGATTGCCAAAAAAAAGTATATATAGTCCTACCTATGTCGGCAGCCTTTGTTTGGGAATTTTCAAAATTTCAATCACGTAAGCAATTCCCTACCCCAACAACCAGTAAAAAAATAAGTAAAGTTTAAATGTCTACCAGAAAAACGATTATTTATGGCATTAGTGGAGCCAGTTTTATGGCTCCCGGCAGTTTTGATCTTTGCATTTGCGGTTTGGCAAGTTTCGAGTTGCAATTTAGAGGCTGACCATAAAAAACCTGCACTTGCAAAATGCATTGCAGACTTTTCTTTTTGGCAAGACACCTTGTTTTTCACGAAGAAAACAAGGGCAATCTGTGCCTTTAAGTAGATTAAATATAGCTGAAAATGTAATTAAATTAATATAACTCTTATTTGCTGAAATCCTATTTAATTGCTGGGTATTCTAAGCTTTTCTTTAAATTATAAAACCCCCCATTAATGGTTGTGGTAGCTGAAAATGAATAAATGCATCGATGGTATCAAATGGCTGTCGATAGTAATTGCACATGCATGTTAGCCCCGTAGCTGCTGTCAGCATCCTGTCCCCTCCCCTTATCCTTGCCCAGATCCTGCTGACACGCTAAGCAATTTAACAATTTTACAGACAATTAAACAGCAACATGCTACGAGTCCTTGGCTGTCCTTCGGCCGAGCTGTCATTGAATCGACTACGACCACGACGACAAAATGGCTAAAATGTACTTGCATCTAATGCTCTTCCTCCGTCTCCGTCTCCTTCTCCCTCTCCCCTGCCACTCGGCACATAAAATATCGATTAGTTTAATGTGCAAAAATAGCAGCAAGTGTTTCTTTGGGGGTCATCCCCGGCCATGGCCCCTCCCAGCCCCCCGTGGCCATCACTGACAAGCGAACGGACGAACACACAGGAATTCTCAGCAAATTGAATTAAAATTGTAAATATCGGAGCATCGTTGTTGCCTGGGAACTTTATGGCCCCACAAATCAAATGCACGAAGGTGGGCCAAATGTTGTCCATACGCCCCGTGGACATAGTACACTGTACAAAAAAAGAGAATGTTTGAGTGGCAAAAAAATATGCAGAGCAAAAAGGCGGCCAAGCGGGGCAGAAAAAATTGCCACTTTAGCACCACCGCTGTCTGAAAAGTCTGAAAAGTTTACGCCTTTTGTAGAGCGGAATAAAAAAAAAAGAGCAAACTGTGTGGAAAGAACCAAAGAAAATGCGCTGGCCGCGAAAAAAAAAACCCCGCGCTCTGGGAAAATCGCAAACGGAAAATGGTTCACGGAAAGTTACCGCTATCGAAGATGCTTTTGTTTCCCTTTTTATCCGCGGCAAATTGCATTCGATTGAAAAGGAAAAACATAAACTGTGCGCTCACATCCTCGATTTGCAGCGATTGCAAAGGATATATATGGGGCTTTATATTTTCACGTTGAAAATAACAATATTTTCTGAGCTGTAAATATGCTGATACAAAATATTTTAATTAAAGCGGAAAGAAAATATTTGTAAACTTCAACCAGGTGTTGTTGAGGAATGTTTGGGAAATGCCTGGCTTACATGTTCCTGATTTTTATTATATTTTTTTTTTCAGCGGTGAATACTTTAAAAATTTTCTATGAAAAAATGTAGAGCATAGCTCATACCTTTAAAATAATGTTATGATGATTATCAAAGATTTCATTCATTTTTACAATAATATTTATAATTTTTTTGAACATCTTTTCCTCTGTTAACCAACATGGCACGACACTAAATGCATTGCACATTAATTCCTGATTCTGATGTCATAGCAAATGTCACTTCCGACTGCTCCTTATGCCACCAGATACTTCGGCTGAGAGCCCAACTGTATAAACAACGATCCAGTTCAATTTGGTATGGTAAACCAGCCTCAAATTGATTTGTTGTCTGCCACATTTAGAGGCAGACAGTGACGTGATTTGCAGTCGCGTTCTTGCAGCTGCTGAGCTGCTTGGCAAAGTTGCATCGGTATGCAAATGAATGAATCCATCGAAGTCCTCTGTATTTGCCCAGGTTCTATTTGTGGCGGCAGAGTGGGGCTTGGTAAAGGATGAAGTCAGTTAATGCTGTTGCCAAGTTGTCTGCAATGGAATGGAATGTCTCTTGTTTGCCTGTTTGCAATCATTCCAACTTTAATTGAAATTAGTGCCGATTTTTTCGATTAAGCCACGCCTTGAATGTTTTTCCAGGCAAATGTTGACAATGCCCTCTATGTATGTCGAGTCCTGGTTACTCCTGCTACATGTTTTATCCTACTGTGAGTGTCCTGCATCCATGTATCATTTATTAATAGAGCATTTGGGGCAATAAAAGTTTTTATGTCCCTGCCTTTGCCCCAAAAACTGGCAGTATGTAATCTAAATAGGAAAACTTTTACGTTGGGCACCCAAAAAACTAAGCATGCCAGAAACTTTGGCCCAAATTTCCACATTCTGACATTTTCACCAGGTGAGCAGCAGCAAAAAAGATGAGATAACTCAATGAGGGAGGAGCAGAAGCTTCCTTTGGTATGCGAGGAGTTTCTATTGAATTTATGGGGTCAACCCTTTTGATTGCACAGGGCGTATGCGTAACTCTTCTGCCAGTGCCTCATTATCGCCCTGTGCTAACGTCATCAGCATTATTACTATATAAGCGATATTATGTCGCTACTTTCCTGGGCTAGCAAAATTTTCTTTCTTTATTTTTTCCCAGTTTCCTCCCTCGGTACCCTGGGACCGAGGAGCAGAGCGAAGAAGCCTTTTGCCTCTGACATTTTGTCGTCGGCTCATCGCAATCATAATTTCCATCTTTATGAATTTTAAATGAGACAGAGAAAGAGACCTGGTCTCCTTTTCTCCCTGCAGCTGACAAACTTTGCACGCCTGTCATTGGGAATTTCAACTAAATTTTTAATAAGATGCCCGGCTTTGAGTGCCACGCCCAATTGTCGCATAAGAGTTTATGCCGTATTTAGTTGGGTAAATATTTATTTGATTGGTATTTTCTTTTTCCGCCTCGCGATCCGGATTTGTGTGTTAGCGCACAGGAAGCGGAAATTGTGCGAGGTCGATGGCAGCATCAGTATATCCATTGATGCGGAAATGTAAAGAAAAGCCGGCCTTTTATTGCCTCGGAATAAATTTGCCCCAGATAAACACACTACTATTTATCCGTCCGTCTTTCTGTCTGTCTGTTGGGGCGTATGATAAATGATTGTGAAGTGGAGCTGATGAGGCGAATGGCTCATTCAAGTTGATGGATATGAAGTGCAGGCACTGTCAGCGGTGCAATCATTAAAAATAATTACAATTCTCAAGTGTGGCCCTATGGCCAATGCATTCCCTCGCATCGAAGGTCCTTAAAGCGGGGCAACTCAGCGGAAAGTCCTTCCAAGCAAAGGCATCCACCCAGCAACATCCTGTACAAATAGGCCGGATGTGAAGAATAAATAAGACTAAATAGGAAAAATGAGGAAAATTATGAGCAGACGAAAAAAGGGAGGGAAGCGAAATGGCAAAGGAAAGGAAACAACCCAAAGGCTGGATTACTTTTGTGGGTTTCTGGACGGGAATGAGTGGAAAAAGTGCCACCAAATCAGGCAACTTTTATGGGTATTTTGTACTTTTTTTTACATCTGGCTCCAATGAATTTCAATGAGCCACCCGGGTATGGACTCGAGCTGAGATTTATTAAAAATGCCTGACCATATTTCGAGACATTTAATTAGGGAAATTTTCTGCCGCAAAAACTAATCAATGTTAATCCATTTCTAACGAGGCCCCGTTAGGAGCTCCCCCAAGAAAAACACTTATCGCTTCTGATGCCCTCTGAATGGCATCATCAAAATTCCTGTGCCTGCCAACTTCCAAGTCATCAAATTGCATGCCAACTTGTTGTTGTTGTTGCCCCTGGCATTTAACGATAATGTGCCCCATATCGAGGCCATAAGGAGATGTATACTGACTGTAGGATAGACAGATATATACCGAAAAATTGGGCCACCGAATTTGCCTGCAAGTATTCAGCATTCAGCATTTTTTGCTGTCCTGGCATGCCACTCACATACATGTGAATGGGTTTCTGAGGGGGCGTTTAATGCGATTTCATTACGCTTTTGTGACATTGTACATTAAGCCAAGTTTTGGCTAAAAATAGGCACAAGCGAGGGTTGCCATTGAAAATTAGATTTTTAAGGTGTTATTTATATAACAAGGGTGTAGCTTTGATAAGTAATATTATTGCTACCTAAAAATATATGAACTTAATAAAAATTTGTTTAAACCATTAAGTTACAGATAAAATTATTGAAGTAGTGCTTAAACCCTTCAAAGAAGAAATAAAAAGGATAATATAACAAAATCCAAAAATTGTATAAAGCACTCAAAAGGGAAGGTTGTTCCTACTTCTTTAGATGCCAAGTTGTATAATTATACTAAAAGTAGAGAATATCCTTATGTTATTTTAATAAATATTGTTCTATCTTCTAATTATTTTAATTATTTCAAAGTATCTCATTATTTTCTTTTATAGAGACTTTATATAGATATTTAATGTAATTTATTGGAGTTCACATTTATTGGCTAATCGTTCTCAGTTCGAAACTGCCCTCGCTTGTGGCATTTCCTTAGGAAGCCCCTATGCCATGCCTTGAGAATGTGTTCGCCGGTTTGTTCATGTCAAATATTTGTTTTCAAAATATGTGTTAAATTCTCTATGCACAGCGCCATTTTCCCGATTGCCCCCTTGCTTCCGTTGCTCCATTCTGCGGTATTTTGGCTGAAATAGAACTCTTTGCTTGCAGCAGGAGCAGCTCGGTTGGCCAAAACTTTGTAAACAAAAACACACACAGAATATATAAATGCCAGCATCAGGCAGTGGATTTTGCTGGAGGATAAAATGTGGGGGGGATGGAGCGGCGGCGGTGGGTCAGGAGCCAGGACCCAGCCAGGATTTGCTCTTTCGCTGGCTGTGCTGACAAAATCCTTTCGTGAGAACGAGATATTTATATATATGTATATATTTAACTGTTTGGCATATTATGGCTTTTATATTGAGTTGTTTTGGACTTATCTAGTTTACTGCCGAACGGATTGGGTCAAATGGGATGAAACTTGTCAAAGCTCCTCCTGGCACAAGATATTCTTTATGGCTGGCATTACAATTTGTTCAGATAAGACCAACAACACAGTGGTTCAGTGGTTCAGGCTAATTTCCAGGGGGTTCAGAGGAGATGGCCTGATAATTTGGCCTTAAAGGGGAATTTCAAGGATAATAACCATACTCCAATGACTCACTCTAGAGCTAAGAACTCAAACTTATAGGATGGAATTATAGCTTAGCTCCTTTGGGTCCTCCTTTAAGAAATGCAACACTGTAAATCACACAAACTATTCTTTACAATTTTCCCAGATAAGGCGGCAAGGTGCTAGAGGGCAGTGCTCAGGCTAATTTCCAGGAATCGGAGGACCCGGCCCGATAATGTGGCATAAATTACGTAAACGTACACGCAAGAAATGTAAATCATTTGTAAAGTGACTCGGCTAAGTGGTTGGCCTGGTTGGGTTGGCTCAAATGCCAACTGAGTGGCTGCAGATAGGAGAGCATTAACATAAATTACCTTGCACGAGGATGCGACGATCCCGGGCTCCTCTGGCTCCTGCTCCTCCTCCTTCTCCTTTCCCTTAAGACCGCAACGTGCCGGCAGCAGCAATCAGACAATGCCACACACTGGCAGACAGAGAGAGAGACGAGAGACGAGACGCACACGAGGAGACTTGGGATGCTGCAGGATGCAGGACAACACAAACACAAAGGCATAGAAATGAAGTGGTTAAGTGGTCCAAGGACCAGCAGACCCGTACATTGGACATCGGACAGACGCAGGAGTCACGCACGCAGTTTCAACTTTACAGGATGTTTCAGCAGCAGCAAGACGAATCCCTGCACATCTCCTATGTGCCTCCAGTTGCAGCTGCAGTGCCTGGTCCTGCGCCGGCGGACGAGGTACGTGACACGCTGGCATGTCCTGTCCGGTGTCCTGGTGGTGGAGGACCTCCTGCTGCTGTCGGCGTAGTCGGCTGCAGTAGCGGCGAGTCGAGGCTGCCATTCCCACTGCCACCCGCTCCCGGAGGAAGTGTACCCACTACGGCCGCAGCACTGCTGGTGGCGCGTGTCAGGAACCAGCAGTCCATGGGCGTCGGCTTGCCCTTCATGATGACCGGGCCGCGGTACTCCAAGTTGAATGAATCATCCTGATTGATCGCCAGGCAGAGGAGCCTGTAAACATGAAGGAAAACATATATTGCAGAGGACGAAAATAAGTGTCAACTGAAGAGAAATGTTTTTTTAATAACTTCTGTCAAAAGTTATCTTTTAAATTATGTTTTTTATAATATTTTGTGAGGAAGAGCAAAAAGTATGTGTCATCTGGGGGCCTTAAAACTATTTTGATTTATATTTTGTTTATTTTGCCGAGAGTTGTGCTTATGGCAACTTGAAAATTCCCCACCAGCAGTGTTTTTTTCTTTAAACAAATTTGATTTAGTTATATGTTTGGCTTTTGTAACGATTTATTATTGTCTTAGGAACAAAAAAAGATTTAATTGTTTGTTTGTTAAGCTAAAATTATGACTCAATTCCGGAAAACGTCTGAAAAAAGCTTATCTAAGTTAACAATTAAATAAAAGTATCTTGTAAAGGAAAACCTTTCAGAAAATATTCAGACTATGCAGAGATTTTCTCTAAGTGTGAGCTTTGAAGAATGTCACTGCTGGAGTGCCATCATAAATCCGAGTTATTTTCCTGGAGTCGGCTGAGTGCTTACGATGCACTCGGAATGATGCATATCTCAGGAGTAATATTTTTCCCAATCTCTTTGCCAATAAATTGCTGTCGTAATTTCTCCCCGTGCGACACTGTTGGCCAACTTTTAGATTGCATCGCAGGGTATTATGTAAATTCGCTTATTGGGCTTTATTTGCCCGCACATTTGGATGCCAGAAACGGAAGCTGAATAAAAATTTCACCAGGCTTTGTGTGTGCGGATGCATTTCCGCTTCCGCTTTGGCATTCAGCGACCGCAGCCCACATATTGTTGCATTTATGTGCACACAACATACCATACATGTATATCTGATGATTGCATACGCATTTAATTCAATTTATTCGTACCCTTTTGGGCAACACATGGCCACAATTGCATTGCCAATGACCGCCTTTTTAATTAGCGTTCAGGTGAGCTCTGATCAGGTGAAAATATTGTTGGAAAATCAGCAGCAAGTAGCACAGATACTCCCATTCAATGGACCTGGCTTAATTACACGCATTTTCCGTATGCCCTTCATATTTATTTGCATATGCGATTAAGGCAGAGGACCTGAAAAGTCTCCGCCAGACATTATTATCCCGTCATCATCTCATTGCCTTTGCGGATCCGGGATCCGGATTCGAGTCCGGATCCATGTGTGCGTTCTTAATTAATGTTTATGGCTGTGCTTAAATATTTACCCAACGCTTAATTGTCAGTCCAAATATTAAACGTGTAAATATTGCCGCCCGCAAATGGAATGAGTTGCTGAATAATTTATGCATGTGTAAATTGATATGTGCGCTGCATAAGCAAAAAGTAATTGGGAAAAGGGATAGAAAAAGGTGTAAACAATGCCCTCGATTATTATTTTAAATTTTAAACAAATTCGTTTGAGCATAGGATTTTGCATTTCATTTGGAAATTCATTTAGCACTTGTCAGTGAAGGCCTCTTTTCATAATTGATTGTAATAAGAGACAACAAAAAGCGCCGCAATGTTTGTTCAATTTAATTTTAAATTGAATTTCCATTCAACAGAAAATTAGCATATTAATTGGAAATAATTTTGTGAATCCAAAAGAAAAGCACTGTAAGCTTAAAAATGGTTTGCTGTTAGAAGGGCAATCAATAAGAAAATCAGAAACAAACAAATTGATTGCTAAGCGGTAAACATATTATTAAAATGAGATTTTACGGAGTATAGTGAGTCATCTTTAGCTGGAAGATCAATATACTCAATAACAATAATAAGAAAAAAAGTTTTTTCTGGCAAAAGAATTTCAAACACCCTTACTTATGGTATTTTGATCGCAAGTCAATCGAGTTATGTTTGTTTGATATGGATTTTCTATTCACTTAATTTGTTTAGCATTTATGCTATAGCTGTCGATCCAGACTACTTTTTGTTATAAAAAAGACTAAATGTTAAGATTTATCCTGTATTATTATTAAAACTAATTAATTTAGAAACGATAAGACAGCCAGGGATGTCTAAAATGATTAAGATTTTAATACTTAGCAAGCATATATTCTGTATTGAGTCGAAAATGATCTCAATCAATATAAACTTCCGACTAATAAATAAGGCTGAATAGGCATACACAGAGAAAAACTCATTTCTGCTTTTAATTTCATCATTAAACATTTTTTGTATTCCTTTCTTTATTATAGCGTATTATAATATCATTCATAAGTCACTCATCCTCTGAGGAAGTAATTTCCAAACTATAAAATAATTTCTTTATCTAATTTCACATAAGCTAGCTTTTTTATAATATAATTTTTTTATTCCTTCCTATGCTTTTATTTAAATATTTGTTCAAAATACAATACAATAATGGTTTTATTATCAGTCAAATAAATACAAATGTTAAAATATTGCAAGGATTACACTCAAAGCCCATCAAATAAATCCTTTAATTGACAATTAATTTTAGTATGCCATAGGAAAACAGCTTAGCTGTGTAAATGTTGTCATTTTCATATTGATTAAGCAAACAAACTGGATTATTATTTTTATTACCCAACCATTCTCCCATTTACGCCCATCAAAATGTGTGTAAAATGTGTGAATATATTTTTGAAATGTCATTTTAATACCGCTATTAAACCGCATTAATGTTTTCTGTGTACAAAGCGAGAGAATAAGAGCGGAAAAACGAAAACAAGAGAGAGAGAATAAAGGGAGGAGAGTGTAGTGTAGGTAGAAACAGCTGAGCGTTGGAAGAACATTTGCTTCCATTTGTTTAGTTTTCCGGCGACGTCAGATGAGCGGGGTGGAAAATTCAGTGTGAGTTGCGTACGGTAAATAAAATATAGTGAAAAATTCAAGGAAATTGCACATACATAGCCATCAGCATTAAAAAAAAAAACCCATAGAATCGTGTTCAATAGAGTCCTTGAATCCTTTTCAGGATATTGAAGTGCCCCGAGAGATTTGGCTTGGCAACTGGTAATCAAACACCTGTTTGCCACTCTAAACTCTTGATGTAATATTGAATTTAAAAGAGTTTTAAATGATTTAAGCAGAGCAAAAAGTATTTCATTCTAAGCCCTTGAAATAAATATTTATGGGTTTCAATGGAAATACTGTTTTCCAGTTAATTATTCATTTGTTTATGTTTCTGTGGAGTTCCCCCGGCAAGTCATTACCAGCTGGCAAAAAAATCAATAGCGAGAGCAGGAAACAAAAAGAGAGTACGCTCTCTCTTGCCCTTAATTATTACACTCTTTTTGCGGCATTGCGACTCTTTAGCTGCTTCTGTTCGGGAGTTTTTTTTTACTTGTGCCAACGGTTTTTGGGAATTTAAAAAATTTCTGAGCGGAAAAAATAATTTTAAAAATATTTTTCCCTGTGAAAGTGATTTAATTTTTTTTTTTTTTAATTTGAACCATGTTTTTGCAGTTGCTAGCGGCTTTCCAGCGGCTTGTAAGTCAATTAAAAAGTCAATTTGTGTGGGTTCACTGCTGGTTGCCATTACCGCAACATTTCTACGGCTTCCGCCGGGAAACTGAGTCACGGACACGGTTACGGTTACGGGCGAGGGAGCGCTTGCACCGGAAACCCGACGAGCGGGCAGACTACCAACGAAATTGGAGGATATCCCGCCGCCAGCTGGTCATGGACTACATCTTCGAGTGCTTCTTCGATGACACCTTTGACCAGATCACGCGTAACGGCTTGCAGGATCGCCAGTCACGCCGCGATGTCCTTGACCATCTGAGTGCCATCATCAAGGGCTGCAGCGAGGGACAGGACACGCAGACAGAGGAGGTGGCCGCCATAGCAGTGCTAGCCGCCATGCGCTTCCATCGTCTGGCCAAGGAGCAGAACGGAAAGGTGAGGGGTCGAGCTGTCATTATTATGTAGAAAATTTAAATTCAAAATTTGTACATATGCTTTGGTGAATTTAGTCAAATTTATATTCAGGATCTAATGAAGGTGTATTTTAGTTAGTTTTTATTTAACTAAATAATTTCTAATAATATATTTTTCAAGGCATTTTGAACATTCAAAACCAAGCCCTGAATAAATAATCAAGAGCCGCAAAGGAAAAGCCGAGTCAGCTATAGCTAAACCTCTCCAAGACCGCCGGATAGGAATCCGCTCTCAAAAGAATAATTTTCTCCAATAAGAGCTCTTGAAGCCATAAAACTGATCGAAATGTCCAAATCGCGAGCCCCAACCCCTGAGCCCCCAGTGGCTGACAGTGCCATCAGTCAGCCGCAGGTAAAGATCGGGCATTATCAGCTGGGCATCACCTTGGGCACCGGCAGCTTTGGCAAGGTGAAAATCGGAGTGCACCAGATAACGGGTCTCAAGGTGGCAGTAAAGATCCTGAACCGGCAGAAGATCAAGAGCCTCGATGTTGTTGGCAAGATACGTCGCGAGATCCAGAATTTGAAGCTCTTCCGGCATCCGCACATTATCAAGCTGTACCAGGTCATCTCCACGCCCTCGGACATCTTTATGATCATGGAGTATGTAAGCGGCGGCGAGCTATTCGATTATATTGTCATGCACGGCAAGATGCAGGAGCATCAGGCGCGTCGCTTCTTTCAGCAGATGATCTCGGGCGTGGACTATTGCCATCGTCACATGATTGTCCATCGGGATCTGAAGCCAGAGAATCTGCTGCTTGACCACAATATGCACGTGAAGATTGCCGACTTTGGCCTGTCGAATATGATGTTGGATGGAGAGTTCCTGTGCACTTCTTGCGGCTCCCCGAACTATGCCGCTCCCGAGGTGATCTCGGGTAAACTATATGTCGGTCCTGAGGTGGACATTTGGTCTAGCGGCGTCATCCTATACGCTTTGCTCTGCGGTTCTCTGCCCTTTGACGATGACCATGTGCCGACGCTGTTCCGTAAGATCAAGTCGGGAATTTTTCCGATCCCGAAGCACATGAACATGCAGGTGCTGAATTTGGTATGCCAGATGCTGCAGGTTGATCCCCTCAAGCGGGCCAATATCGAGGAGATTAAGAAGCACGCTTGGTTCCAGAAGGATCTGCCCGCGTATCTCTTTCCCACGGCCTCCGAGCAGGACTCCAATGTCATTGACACGTACGCTGTGGCCGAGGTCTGCACCAAGTTTGGAGTACTGGCAAGCGAGGTGCACAGCGCCCTGCTTAATGGTGATCCCCACGATCAGTTGGGTATAGCCTACCATTTGATAATTGACAACAAGCGCTTCAACGACGATGCCGCCAATCAGATCAACAATTTCTTTACGGTCGAATCACCATCATTGCTGCCGCTTCAAAAACCACTGTCCCCTGTAACCGTGGGCGTCGGTGGCTCGGGATCCAGCTCGGGCAGAGCCACACCAGTGCCTCCATCCAGCTCCATCCGACCACATCCGGAAAGGATTGCTCCACAGGGCGACCTCCAGCTGGCCATGTCTGTCCAAGCATCGGGCGGTGGGGCCTTCCCTGTGAAGGCAACGCGCACCGGAACACCCGTCAAGCGCGCCAAATGGCATTTGGGCATTCGGTCTCAGAGCAGGCCCTATGACATTATGCTGGAGGTGTATCGCGCAATGAAGGCTCTTGGATACATGTGGAAGGTTCTCAATCCGTACCATGTACGCGTCCGCCGGCAGAACCTAAAGACGGGCCAATTCTCAAAGATGTCGTTGCAGTTGTACCAAGTGGATGTCAAGAGCTATCTGCTTGACTTCAAGTCGCTGACCAACGAGGAGGTGGAGCAGGCCGACGATGTCACTGTGGACACTCAAACGGGTCATAATACCATGGAGTTCTTTGAGATGTGCGCCGATTTAATTATTCAGCTGGCGCGCTAAGATCTGAGAACTGCTGACCACTTAAACCTCTAAGGACAGCACAAAATACCGCACAAAAAGGAGGAATAGAAGCTCAAAGCTCACCTCTTAAGGCACATCTTATTATCATTTTAACCCAACAAATTTCATATATCCTTATTTGATATTAATAAACTGTAATCAAACGGAAGGTTTAACTTGTAATCCTTGAATAAACCAATCCATATATATTAAAAATCCCATTTTTAGTTTGCTATTCTGCTTTAGTACAGCTCCAGGCTTTAATTACCTTTGTTTTCGAGTAGAGCGGTTCTATGAAGTTTTACCCGATATATGTATGTATATTTTCCCGCAGGTATGCCTGATGGGCAAGTACCATAACATCCTGTATATCGGCCTGCGCACCTGCTGGGATTGGGGAGTGCGCGACTCCGAGGTGGTCGTTCAGCTACTGGGTGAGTAAGAGAGGGAGGAGTTGGATATGGAAGCTTTGGCTCCAAACCAAACTCAAAGAGGCAGCCCAGCTAAATAATTTAATTTATGTGCATATGTATGCGGTGGGACATTCATATCCTGTGTGTGTACTGAAATAATTTTGCTTTAAGAGACCAAAACTTGTTTGGAAAATCTGCAGAATTTAAGTTAAATAAAATTAAATAAAAGATCTTGATTGCAAATTATAAATTTGAATTAATAATTTTACACAGAACGCTACTTCAATATTATTGTACTCAATTTTCTCTTATATATTTCTTTAAATATAGTCCCAAATTTTCTTCTCTGTGTATCTGATTCTCTAAATGTTTTGGGGCGTGGCTGTTTGCTTTGCATATTTTAATGAATTTTATCCCATCGCATCAGATTATTACGCCCATAAGCTGGCTGGCAGGCAGGCAGTTTTAACTTTAATCACGTGTTTCTGCTAATTGCGTTAAGAAAGTGTTGCTAATGTCGTTCTGCTGTTGTTGCCGCTGCATCGTAAAACTTGTAAAGTGCCTTAAAGTGTTGCAAGTTATTTGGGGCGCACATGCGTATATTTGTGTGTGTTTTTGTGCCGGCTCTAATTAAAATGCTGCGTAAAGTTTGTAAACGAGGACGAGGGCTGGGGAAAGTGCCAGAAATTAATGGCATGCCTCTGTCATGGGATCTCTGGACTCGTGTGCAATAAAACTTGCTCCCTGTTTGTGCTGTCGCCACTTTCCCCGCATTCTGCTTCGTATTTTGTTGCCTTATTTTTGCTGGCAAACATTTTACCCAGTTTCCGTTTTCCGCTGACTTCATTTTCGGTGCCAAAAAAGCCACAAGCTACAAAGGGTCCAAAGGAAACCGAAAAAGCCAAAGGGAGTCGGCCAAGCAGCAACAAGTGCAGTCACGTAATTAGCTTTTTTATGGCTCCTGCCGCTGCGATTTTTATGACATTATTTAAGAGTTATTTTTTTGAAAGGGATGTTAAAAAAAACACTCATATATATACTAACTTTATAAGTTATTAGCCTTCAAGTTGATTAAAAGAGGAATATATTATTTAGCTAGGACATTTAATTTGACTTAAGCTTATTTCCCTTTAAAATAATATATATTTTTCGCTCTACACAGAGGCCATTTATGAGTGCGAAAAGACTTTCGAGCGGATTTTCCTGGGCGCCTTGTTTGGACCACATGCTCCACACTTCATAGCCGGCTGGCGCAGTGACTTTCAGGATCAGGTGAGTGACTGGCAGCCCCCTCCCGCTTGAAATCCCTACTGCATACAGCAGACCCTTCCCCCTTTTTGGGATATACATCCATGTAAGCCCTTTGTTTGCAGCACGAGAATGTCCGGGCCATGGTTTACTTTTTGAAGCACGCCACACGCGAGAAGCTCACACTGCCCGTCTGGATTCCGCGCTTCGAACAGGAGCGACAGCTGAGGTGAGTCCATGCTTGCTTTTCCTGCTTCTTTTATGCTACCCCTCACTTTGACTTTCACTGCTGCACCCCCTCTTGCTATGCTGGCTTTCATGTGTCACACCAGCGCTCTTTTGCCGCCCCAAGCAATTTTCACACTGGCCGGGTTAATTGGATAGTTGGATAGTCGGGGGGAGCACTCTATCCGCAAGAGCAGATTGTTGCATCGCCTTCATGGCCTGTGTCCTGACATTTATGATGTCCCTGTTTCAGAAAATCTAGATGTGGTCTTTAGTTCGCTTTAGGAATAAAGACCATGAAAGCATTTTATCTTAATTCTTAGCGTTTTAAGAATTTGTTGAACAATTTCCGTTAAGAATTAATTACTTTATAAAATCTTTTTGCTGGTTTTTTACAGCAGTTTTCCAACCATAATTATTAATGTGTCTTTCTCATAATAATTATGTTTTCGGTCACAATAAGAAACTGTAAATAACCGCTGGGAATACAAGGGAAGAGAGGACTGACGCGAAAGTGAAAAGTAACCGGGAAATGAAAGGATTTTAATTAAATTAATACATCAGCCATTGTTGTGGCTCATGTAGGTGTAGTTGGTATATGTGTGTGGGTGTGCATGCTGCCATAATTGAGTGAAAGATGGCGACACTTTACAACCACACCCGCACGGCAACAAATACACTTGCCTGCACAATGGCCGCCGCCGCAGCAGCGAACGCTCTCAATCACTGAGACTCCCCCCTCTCTCTCACTTCTCACTTCTGCTGGTGTCATGCATAATTAAGATTTTCATTTGCAGCTGGCTGCGGGGGAGCTTGTCTCATTTTTTCCCACCCCTTTTTCCACTTTCCACTTTTCCAGCAACCGAGATTTATGCACATGTGTGAGTGTGTTGTATCTGATGCGATAAGCTGAAAACCAACAGGCAGCGATGTAAACCTTTTGTTATTTCGGCTTTGTTCCAGCCAGCACTCCGGAGGATTAAAGTCAAAAATGCGTGTAATAAGCGCACAAAGCATTCTCAACCCCACCACACCCACTAATCCACTTCAGTGATGTCTATTTGGCGATATTTAAGCTATTTTGGGGGTTATGAAATGAAGTTCTTAGGGTCTGTGAATTTCACATTACCTTTTTAATATTTTAGGATTTTTATTTGCTTTTAAAATGTATCATTTAAAATAGGAGAATATCAAGCAACAATACAAAAATAATATTAAATAATATTTCTTATTTAATTCAATTTACTGAACTATATTTTAGATTAAATAAGCAAACAATTTTAATTTAATTTAAAGCTCCAGCCTGATAAAGGTTCTGTGAATTTCAAACTCCTCTTACAACACATTTTGGCTCCTTTTTTAAGGCTAAAATGGTCAACTCTGTTCCACACACTGGATACACTGACTGTTTGCGCTTCTTGAACAAACAGAAGACAAAAAACTGACTGCAAACATTAAGACGACATTTATGATGCCCTCTCGCAACAGCGGCCAAAGTCATGAATAAGCGTTAATAGCTGCAGCTGTGTGTATGGGTGGAGCATATGTGTATGTCAGAGACTTTGTGTGTGTGTGTAAGGTGGGCGTTTGTGGGGGGGTTATGTGAGTAAGGGAGGGTCTATGAAAAAAAGCAAGCAATAAGACAATAAACGTTTTGGCCAAATGCCGTTAGAGCTGCATAAATCAGTGCTGAAATAGCATATTGCTAAAGTTCAACTACTAAGAAGAACACTTGAAAAAAAAAAAATAAAATATGGGTAATGAAATTATATTTTTAATTAAAAGATTTGAGTCATATAGTTAAGCAACAAATTAAAATAAATTAAAAAAATTAAGCAAACTAGCTTAGCAAAAAATATAAATAAATTTAATATCTAAACTAGACTGTTCCAGCCTAAATTTTAAAAAATGAAGTAAACATATAAATAACAAGTGTTTAGAAATTTAAAAGAAAATATTATACAACTTCTTTAGTTATATTTCTGATGTTTATTTTTTCCAGAAAGCCCTAAGCTATATCTTAAATTCTAGAGTTCATTTATTATTAATTATTTTTCTTTAAAAAACGTTGGAAAAATATCAAATGTTTATCAATATAAATTACCTTAAAATGTCAGTTTAAAAACTTATAGTTTCTATGATGCTCCCAAAGCTTTAATAACTTTAATATAGATATAGTGTATATGTTTCACTTCTAATTAGTATAATCTAAAGCGGGTGGTTAAACCTCTTGACTAGAAATCGCTCCTCTAATTTACTTAAAAATCTCTTACAATTTTCCTTGTCTCATCTACAAGTTCTAACTGTCAGAAGAGAAGGTTAAGCCACAGCAAATGCCCTTCGTTAGACAGAAATTTGATTTGTCAGCCCACACACACTCATCGGCTGATTAAATTGTTAATGTTTGATTTAACGGTGCAAATCAGTTCCGAGGGCTGCCTCAAAGGACACGAATCCTTCACAAGTGGATTTGCTGAGTGAAACTGTCGCGAGATGCGAGTGGTGAATGTCTTGATTCGTACTGGGACTCGCTTTTATCGCTGCCAATAAAACGCAAATGAATTTGCCAAGGCAATTTCCCAGCTGTCATCGGGATGGTGGCTCAAAATGCGCTTATCGTATGTTCGCCAGCGTAGGTGTAACGTTGTGAGGGTTACTTCCGGTTTATTGTGGTTTTTGCTCTTTTATTTGCCTACTTTTATGCGTAGACATAAAAGCCGATGGCGAATTCGCATGTGTCTGTGTGTGTGTAACTGTATTGTGTCGCAAATGTGCTCTAAGTGCATTGTACATGCTAATGCCTGAATGGAGACAAACGCCTTCCACTCACTAGTCGCATTACGTATACGCAGTGTGAAAATGAGGCAAGAGCTGTGAAAACTCGAAAAATATATTGCAGTAATAAAAAGTTACGACTGCAGAAACTAAGAAAATCAAATTGAGGAAGTAAAAAGTTAAGTAAATAAGTGTAATTCAAAAGTAAATAAAATCATTTCTTATATGAAAATCTGACCTAAAATAAAGTTAAATATATTTTGATAATTTTCTGACCGCCACTACATTACAATTTATTTATTTAGATAATATTAGATGTTAAACAAATCCCATAACTTATTTATTTAGTTATTTTGCGGATCCTATTAGGTTTTCTCCGTGTGCTTTTTATATATATCTCTGAGGACAAGCAACAAGCGAGTAGCTTAATTGAGGTCTGGCACTCATTTTCCCATCTCCTGTTCGTCCTGCTAATGTGGGAAGCCCATTTTGATGCTTGTCGCCCATTAAAGCTGCCACAAAGAGTGGCCTAAACGCAACTTTGCGACATTTACT